TCCGGAGGGGAGCGCGGCGGCCCCGGCGAACAGGTGCGCTGCGCGGGGACCGCCGCGCGGACTCGCGCGGACGTTTGTCATTTTCTTATCCGCCTTCACCCCCCTCTGTCCCGGCTGTTTGGGATTGGCGGGGGTCCAACCGACCCAGGCCGCTCCTCTCCAGGTCGGCTCTTTGGGGGACGGGGAGGGAGCCGAGCCGGTGGATGGGGGGAGCCGCGGATCCCTGCCGCGGCGGCGCCCGCCCGGACCCAGCCGGTTGCGCCAAGACCTAGATCCGTGGACTGAAATTACGTTTTAAAAATTAACATGTGAAACGTTGCCATTTCGTGAGCGGTGTTTCGGGCAAAGAATCAATTTAACTTTGACTGACCGACAGACTTGACTGTATTAATTCTGCTGCCAGGGGAAAAAGTAATCCATGAGCCGCGAGCCCTTGCCGCGCTGCGAGCGTCTTCGGACCGGCGCGCGGGCCAGGAGCCGCCCGGAGCGGCCGACGCCTCCACCCCGCCAGCGAGGTGGGCGACCGAGCGGTCCCGGCGCCCCCAAGCCCCGCCTGCGGAGCCGCCGAGCCGGTGGGAGCGACCTTCGCGGGGCGCCCGACCCTTCGCCGCGGCCTCCCTCCTGCAGCGAAGTCGCGCCGCCTGCTTCGGTCCACGGTGCGCACGTCCCGGAGTCCCCACCTGGGCCTGCGGGCCGCCCGCCTCTGCCCCTTTCCCCGGGTTGGAGCAGCCAGTGGAAACGAAAGGTCAGGAAGTTTCCGAGGTGAGATGGATTTTCTTTCGCGACGCCCGGAGTCCATGGGCAAGGGGGGACAGGCGGGCGACATCGACCTGGGCAGGGACCTGCAGGCCATCTCCCTTCGGCAAGAAACAGGTGTTTGGATGCGATGGCGGCCCGCAGTCGATTAACCCATTAAAAGTCCGCTTTGTGGCATTGATCTCCTGAAGTGCTGAGGTCGGCATTCGGGAAGCTCCCCTGGGAAAGGTGGAGGCTGAGGGGAGCCCCCGGGGGCGTCCGGGCTGGTGCAGAGGACCCAGCAGCCACTGGCAGCGAGATGCTGAGCAGCCGAGGTCTTTCCCTCCCTCTGGGTTTGCTGAGAGGAGTCCTGACCTGTTCCCTGTCCCAGAATTGCGGCCTCGCTGCCTCCTCCTGTCTCGACCTCTCCTCTGCCTGTCTGGTGTATGTGACCAGCGGCCTGGGAAGCACCAGGACAGGGCCAGAACAATCGGGCAGCGCCAGCTGGGTTGTCTGTTCAGAAGTGGTCCAGGCTGGGGTA